GGCAGAACTACACTGTAGCTATGTTCGTATGACTAAATAAAGAACCTTGAACAAGCCACAACTTCCCCATAGCTGCAGAATCTGACAAGTGTCTGTAGCTGTCATGCATTGATGCCATTTTTGTAACCATATCTGACCCTGCTGATACAATGCTGTACGTACAAGGGACTTCCCTTCCTTACTGGTTCAGTTTCAAAATTACAGAGGTTTCATTAGAAAACAAAGTGATGGATAGCTGATGGAGCGGCCCTTAGTGAGGTGCTGCCATCTCCTGTCGGCTCTGAGGTGATGCATGACTATAATTGTGCCTTCACAGAAGCTGAAATGCATGTATTTAAGGAAGATGACAAGTTTGTATCGTCACCCTGCCTGTAAGAAATCACAGCAAGTTCTCACATTTCCTCCAAATGTGCCACCATGTGTTTAAATTGATTTCTGCCATGCTTCCACAGAGCCTGTCTGACAGTGACATGAACAAGTTTAGTCTTGTCTACCAACCGTAAGTAACACATTGATGTCATCGCCGTCATCACACACTTCAATCACACCTTCTTCTATTCTCACCTACCCCCCCCCTCCTCCTGTTCATATCAGCTTTTATTATGTGCCTGATAAAATACAAAGCTTGAAAATTAGAGATTTAAATTATCTCAGAGGTAAAATGTGTGTGTGTGTGTGTGTGTGTGTGTGTGTGTGTGTGTGTGTGTGTGTGTGTGTGTGTGTGTGTGTGTGTGTGTGTGTGTGTGTGCACATATGCATACAGTTTGTCTGGACTTGTGTACACACAGCTGGATGTGTGTGTTGTCTGCCTGGCTGCACCTGCACATTTGTCAGTATGTTGTTCCTCTTTATGTATCCCTGACGTGTCTTTGCGTGTCTTTAAAAAAACCATATCTGTTAATATTAGTTATTAACTGAAATAGGTCAGTAAAACTTGATATATGTTTTACCAACTTATATCTACTTTTTTTATTTAATATTTAGAATTCTTAACAAATTTATAAAACTATTACAAAAATGAAATAACTATTTTCTATTTACACTTTGAACGTTAACTTATTCTTGATATTTACCAATTAAAAATGAAGATATGTAAGTGAAGTCCATTTCATTATATTTTTCATTTTATGTGAATTATGTTATTAACACATATTTATTTTTTATTTTTTAGCTATAATTAAATACGTTTAATTAATTAGTTTAATTAACTTTTAGGCCTAATATGGAACAAGCAGGGGGAAAAATGTAATATGATTTATACACTGCACAGGTACGACACATTTTCACTGAATAATGTTTGTCCTCATTTCTCTATGACTTCCTGTTTTGATATGGTTGTTCATCCCTTGTTGAACCAGGAAATAACATGTTAGAGCTAATAAAATACTGAGAGTTCTCTCTGGTACTCCCACACAATGTAGAAACATTTATTTTTAATTTGTGAGTCGTTGCTTCATATATCAGAGCCTCATAACTTACTCTTAATATTCATCATATACAGTCACTATAACACAACTTTTTTTAATATCTCACAGAGCCAGTAATAAACCAAACTGTTTCCACTTTGTCTTTGACGTAACAAGAATATACAGAGCAGATCTATTTTATGAATAAATAGGAAAACACTTTAGGAATTTAAATGTTTCATAATCATGTGAGTGTCCGTGGTTTCACATTAATCTCCGGGCCAAATGGTGACTAAAGGCTGTCTAAAGATTATTCTTACTATGAATCATGAACAGCCGTTTCCTTAATAATCCAAAACTGTAATTCTGTATGCACATTTTTGACCACAAACAGCCTGTGTTTTTTCCTCCTGTGCTGTAGTTGACTGTAATCACAGGAAGAACAGACATGTAATTAGCAAAAACAGCTCCATGGTGACCACCATAGACTGTATGATATGCTGACCACACACACTGTGGAACATTGTGCCAGTCTAACAGGAAAGCCATATACTAATTTTTGCAAAATTGAACTTTCCATGGCACCATACTTGAACTTACACTTCACCCCCAACATGTGTTGCTTAAAATATGGTATGTGTGACAAAACTGTCAAACAATTTCCTCAGTAATGACTTGTCAGTAGACTTTCAAAACTTGTCAACTGTTCCTTGGAGATGATGAAATGATAGTAAATTAAAACACAGTGAAAAGCTAAAGTAATGCTATAAACAAACTACATCATTGTCATGTCTCAATTAGCCACTTGTTAGCAACTGCCTTTATTAGGACACAGAAAGCTTAAGAAAATTCACCAGTGGGGTGTGTATTGAAGTATTGTTTAATAAAAAACAATAGATGAACATCTCGTAAGCTTGAGTTAACCAAAGACCTTTGGAATCGAACCAAAAACTCTGTCAAATGTAGCTTATTCTCAGTGCTCATCTGCGTCTTGAGACTGATGCACAAGTCACTAAAATAAGTTGTGTGTGTGTGTGGGGG